CGCAGGAGTACAAAAAGGCGGTATTTTTAGCTTACTTTCAAGATCAAAACTTTCTCTCCAACAGACTTCAGTAGATTCGTTTTTTGCTTCTTGGTCAACGTTTTTTTATTCCAAAAATTTCAATGAACCATTTCTGACTCTGCTATCGCTGAACTTGACCATTTAGCAGTTCGTGAAAAAAAATCACGGGAAATTACATGAATGATTCGATTAAAAACCCTTGGTCATTGGATGTCGCTCAGCGAAGTCGATTGAGGTTTTTTAGATGGCCAGAAATGAGGCATTTGAGTCGCTGTCGAGCATTCTTTTGTTGATTCAAAAATTAGACCAGCACCTCGCGTTTTGGAATATTTATTTTTACATTCATCTCAAGTCAGACTCGTCGCAAGGTTTTTTTTTTTGCTACATCATGTTTGCTTTGTTCTCATTGTGATTTTCGAGATTTGTGACTTGTGGATCGTTCAATTGTCGTCGGATACTAATGAGGGTTTGACGCGGAAATTCTTCAGCAGGTGTTGAGCGTAGGTGAACTTTTTCCAGGTCAGTTCGAGATGTGACAAACCTTTTTTTTTGTGGGACCTCATCAGCACAATTTCTTTTTGAATCGGTCATCTTCACGAGCCAAGACCGACTGATGAAACGTGACGTGGTGTATTCCATTCTCTCGCACTGCAGACCCAGACGAACATCATCCACTTGAAACCCACATTTCCGGGCTGTAAAATAAAACACACCATCTCTTTTCTGCCCGAATCGAGTCTTTTAATTACGACCAGCGGTTGAATTCTTTGCATGGAAAAAAAGGCCAACGTTTTCGACGCTTTTTGCTGGTAATTAAGAAAGGTCGTTTCTTAACAGACCGAAGACGTCTCCTTGAAAACCTACGTTACAGTAATCCCACTCGATTTGAACTCGCTCAGATTGGAGTGATCCACTTTTTTTTTGTAAGATTGCGTCGGTTGGTTCATGGAACGCCGCTTATTTCAAAGATCAAATTAATCGAAGGATGGTTCAAGTTAAAGATATTGGTTTTTTATTTTTAGGAATGTTAACGGGAATCCCCTCGGGATGTTCGAAGATGCATTAGAGACATTCGAAGGAGAATTCTCGAAGGTTGTCGCAGGTTTAGAATGAATATCTTTTGTCCAACGATGAACGGGTTCTTCGGAATTCCCCTGGGTTTGATTCCTTACTTACTTTGTGCTGGGCATCTAGGATTTAACCTTTTTCTTTCTTTGAAATAATTCTGAGGAACATCACGAAGAGTTAGATTTTTAAACACTTTCTAGAAGGGCCATCTCGTAATTTGAAGATTATTCCAGAAATATAGAAACAATAAAGAAAAGGATGGTACAGATACTGTAATACAAAAAATTGCGTAAATTTTTGGATGCTGTATTCACGCGTCGATTCGACCGAGGATGCTTTTCATCTATTGAATTTTGAGAAATGTGTAAGTATTTCTTTCAGATGCGTGTAATCCTGCTGTAAAGTTTTATTTTTTGAAAGTTAAGAAATTTGAAATTGTCTTCTAGTTGTTGAATACTCTACGCGGTTGAAATAATTGTTAACATGTTTCTTCGGTTCATATAGAGTATTGTAATAGACGATGCAACATTATTGTGTGGGATTTTTTCCCCGTCTCTGACGATATTTTTCTCCATCTGCCGAGAAAAATTATGATGTGTTGATCGATCTGCGAAACAAAAACTTCCTTTTTTAGTTTTCAAATCAACCCAGGAAACTCCTCGATAATAAAGCAAGAACATCCCCGTGTTTTCTCGGCGCACTTTCGACTCGAGGCATTTCCCTTTCGCTGATGGTACATTATCATAACGAAAAAAACTTTTCATGATAAAAACGGGATGTTTGCATGGAAAACATGACTGGGAACTTATAACGTGTTTTCTCGGCGCACTTTCGACTCGAGGCATTTCCCTTTCGCTGATGGTACATTATCATAACGAAAAAAACTTTTCATGATAAAAACGGGATGTTTGCATGGAAAACATGACTGGGAACTTATAAAGATAGCGGTTATTTTTGAATCCTCGTGTGAATATCATGGAAGGATGCGCTTTCAATTGATTTCCAGTTCCCATCGATTTTGATAAAATCGTTGCTATCCTAAGTGAGAATTCTGATTTTTTTTTAATTGCCCAACAAAATTCAGATGATTATTCCGTATTTTCTTCGTGTAATGATCAACTAGTCACAGGTCAGCATTTCATCATGGATGGAAGTTGAAGCGGTTGCGGAGAACGTCTTCGAACAGCTTTTTAAGTCCACCTCTTTTTTCGACCATTTATGCAAGAATTTATCTCGGCGTAATTAAGATCAAAATGCTTCCGGACCGATAATTAATGACCAGCACGAATTTAGGTAAAAGGGCTGGACCCAGTTGATAAGTACCTTCTTTTTTCCGAACGGAACAATAGCCTTAGCGGAATTCCCAAGTAAAATTATTCCAGTGAAGGACGCGACGTTATTTCCGGGTAAAGCTCGGGTTTCTGTTACCAAGGATTCGTTTCGACGCTAATAACGGCTGAGTTTCTCGAAAATATTTTGATCTAGCTGTTTTTTGCAATTAATTACGGTACTTCGATAAAGCCTCTGATGCAATAAAGGTGTGCTGTGAAACACCCGCGAGACTTCTGCATAGTCTCGTATCACAGATATTCTTTCGGTCTTCAAAAGGAGGAAGAGATTATGACAGAAATTTGTAAGATGAATTAGAAGAGTAAGTGCTGGGTTCCTCAGAGCCTTGGCTTGGCATTTGCCACCTCACTGTTGGTCCCTGTCTCCTAGTCCAGTGTTCCCAAACCCATGTTCTGTGTACTGACACTGGTCCATGGAGGTTTTCTGCAGGACTGAGGGACATTTTCTTCAGCATAATCAATTTATCAAAAATTTGGAAAGACAATGGCAGTTGAAATTATCTGAAGAAAAATAAAAGTTGGCTTTTCTCTTGATAACACTGCAGACAACTATTCACTTGCTGAAATAAATTATTTTAGTTCTTCATTATGAGAAACCTTTCATTAAACCAACCTCCTCAAGTTTTTTTATGACATTCCTCAAAAGCTACAGTACTTCACTGGTTCTTAACTTAATTTTTGAAAATAAGCAGATAACTTTCAAATACCTGCCACGAAGTCTTTGAAACACAAATTTTTGAGTCTGCATACATTTTATGAAACTTTGCCAGTCTGCAAACATTTTGTTGAGTGGACATTTGCTGGTTGGTAGGCCCAAAAACGTTGGGAACCCTGTCCTAGTCCGTTTTTCTACCCTGTACCCAAGCACACCCCAGCTGCCTCTGTCCTCAGACAAATTTGTTTTTAATTCTTGCTTTTTGGCGCCACTTGCTGCTGCTTCTTGCTTGGCGGGCTTCCCCGAAGTCTCCGCACAAGTCTCACTGCCACCACCTTTGTAAGAGGGGCGCAAAAAGCCATTTGGGAGGAAATGAGTGCGATGGAAGCATGTGAAGCAAAGTGACTTATATACTGTGTTCTGTACAGATTCTAAATTTCTTTCATTCGTTAATTTTTTTTACCTTTGTAAGAGGGGCGCAAAAAGCCATTTGGGAGGAAATGAGTGCGATGGAAGCATGTGAAGCAAAGTGACTTATATACTGTGTTCTGTACAGATTCTAAATTTCTTTCATTCGTTAATTTTTTTTCTAACCTTGGAGCGAGGTACACACAGTACTAATCAGAACAGTTTTCAAATTTTGTGGAGCCTATCTTGATACACGCACACACACCATCTGCCCCTGTCCTCACGCACATTTGTTTTTTTCTCTAAACTTTTTGGCGCCACTCCCTGCTTCTTCTCGGTGGGCTTATCCCTGAGGCCTCCGCAAGTCTTGCTCCCACCGCCTTTGCAAGAGGGATGCAAAAATCCTCAGAGGATAAGCTTACCTGGAGCCCAAGTCATGGAAATGCAAGGGGAGGAGGGGACAAAAAAGTGCTGGTTCATGGTGCCATTAAGTGTGTTTCGTGCTTCGGTGTCAGATTTGTCCTAGTGTGCGCAAAATGGCGTGGGAGTCAATGCCGGCGGGTTGTTCTGGGAAAAGACTGTGTTGAGAGTAAGTGGGACAATGGGAAAAACTGTTTGAATTTTAGTAATTGGTTTGCAAATTACCTTCATATGAGATCAGATCTTTGTGAAGGGAAGGAAAAGGGGGAGGAGAAGTGAGTCCAGATGTTGTTTTGCCACCTAATCTGGCAAATATAATCTGTGAGACATCATCAAATGCTTGGAAAAATGCTCTAATTTTCTCAAGCTCCATTTTCCGCTGGGAGCAAGCAAAAAACTTTGTATCAATTTACCCTGATGATGTTTATGAATCAAGAGTGTGCCAAGTTTTGGAACTACAGCAATGTGTAATGTTTGCAAGATGGTGTTTTGTGTTTGATGGCATCTGATGTACCAACCAAGATTGTGGCTGCTATTTTCATATACACGGTTCTTGACCTAATTTTTGCTAATAGGCAGAAAACTTCCAAATACCTGCCACAAAGTCTTTCAAACATACCTTTTTTTTTAGTCTGCAAACATTTTATGAAACTTTGCCAGTCTTCAGGCATTTGTTTGTGTGGAAATTTGCTGATGTGCAAAAAAATATGTAAATTTGCTGGTTGGTAGGCCCAAACAGGTTGGGGAACACTGTCCTAGTCCTTGTGTTTACCCTGTACCCAAGCACACACCAGCTGCCTCTGTCCTCAGACAAATTTGTTTTTCTTCCTGCTTTTTGGCGCCGCTGGCCGCTTCTTGCTTGGTGGGCTTCCCCGAGGTCCCCGCAGTCTCGCTCCCGCCGCCTTCGCGAGAGGGACGTGGAAATGTTGCTTGTTGGAAATTCGTGTGTCCTGGATTCATGGTGCGATGCTCCTGAAGTGGAGTGACCCAGTGTTTCGAATTTCGTGGAGCGTATCTTGATGCGCACGGTGATATGAGAAAATAGTCCAGTCCGATGATCGGGTTGAGGAATCGATACCATGTCTTCTGTAGAATTTGCGGCTGTTTCTGCAAATATTGTTCAGAGCAGGAAGTAGATCGGAACAAGCAATATTCTCACATGATCAATGCTTGGGGGTTTGATCAAAGTACTTTTTTGGAACCCTCGATTTGTATAATATTCGAATGGCTTTTTTGTGGCTTTCATTTAGTTGAATATTCACTCCATAAAAAAAATTGGGCTTAGGTATCGTATCGTTTTTTTTTGTCTTTTGTGAAACTCGCGGCTGTTTCCGCAAATATTGTTTAGAGCAGGAAGTAGATCGGAACAAGCAGTATTTACATGATCAGTGATTTGGGTTAGATAAAATGATGAATGCACTTTTTGTAACCCTCGATATGTATAAAATTCAAATGGCCTTTATGTCGCTTGAATTTGGTTAAATAGTCACTTTATACGAATGATTCCTAACAAGAAAAAGGTTTGTTTTACAAAATAATCTGCCGTATGGGTGCCGTCTACTCGGACTGTATTTTTATTTGTTCAAGCGATCGAAATATTGCACGTTGCGAAGAACGCTTTCTATGTACAGTAAAAATTAGTACGCAAATCTTTCTTGATACGGTAGAGTTTGGTTTTCATTCTTAAAAAAATTATTGTAATTTTCAAGATAAAAATTGAGCATGTGACTGGGATGCGGTTTAAAAATATAATTTTTCACGGGGACTTGTCGGCTCGATGATTATTGTCTGGGTCAACTTTTATTTCGACACGCAATGCTTGAAGAAACGATTATTGTTGAATTTTCTATTTTTATACGATTTCCTAACATGTTTCTAAATATTAAGAAAAAACTTGACTTCGATTCGATCTTCCACGATGAACAAGATCCGGTCGCATCATCGTTAATTAAATTTTTAGATCGCTCGTGTTGCGGTAATCTGGAAGCTAAATGCAACCTAAAAGCTTAATTAGTTGAATATTCACTCCATAAAAAAAATTGGGCTTAGGTATCGTATCGTTTTTTTTGTCTTTTGTGAAACTCGCGGCTGTTTCCGCAAATATTGTTTAGAGCAGGAAGTAGATCGGAACAAGCAATATTTACATGATCAGTGATTAGGGTTAGATGAAATGATGAATGCACTTTTTGTAACACTCCATTTGTATAAAATTCAAATGGCTTTTATGTCGCTTGAATTTGGTTAAATAGTCACTTTATACGAATCATTCATAACAAGAAAAAGGTTTGTTTAACAAAATAATTTGCCATATGGGTGCCCTCTACTCGGACTGTATTTTTATGTTCAAGCGATCGAAATATTGCACGCTGCAAAGAACGCTTTCTATGTACAGTAAAAATTAGTACGCAAATCTTTCTTGATTTGGTAGAGTTTGGTTTTCATTCTTTAAAAAATTATTGTAATTTTCAAGATAAAAGTTGAGCATGCGACTGGGATGCGGTTTAAAAATATAATTTTCCACGGGGACTTGTCGTCGGCTCGATGATGTCTGGGTCAACTTTTATTTCGACACGCAATGCTTGAGGAAACGATTATTGTTGAATTTTCTATTTTTATACGATTTCCTAACATGTTTCTAAATGTTAAGAAAAAACTTGACTTCGATTCGATCTTCCACGATGAACAAGATCCGGTCGCATCATCGTTAATTAAATTTTTAGATCGCTCGTGTTGCGGTAATCTGGAAGCTAAATGCAACCTAAAAGCTTACTCAAGTCTTTCCGGAAACTACCAAGCAACTATTGCGACGTCCCTAGAAAGAAAAAAAAAGCCAGGAAATGTCGTGATTTCCGGATTACCCCACGGATTTCAGTCGCGTTGAGGCGAGAACATCGGAGCTTGGTGCCAATTCCATGCTGAAGGTTGCTTAGCAAGGCTGTCGTTTACGCTCCATGATTCTCACTGTCATTCAGAATTTGTGCAATGTTCAATGACGCAAGTCCTTCACTAATTTCGCATATGTCTCCGATGTTCGAATGTATGCTTTTGCCTTTGAGATCAGGTACCCTACTAGCAGAAGTAATCCATACAATTTCCAGTTGAAATTCATTGTATATGGTTATGTACTGTACTGTAGTACGGTAAATTTCCTATTAAAATGGCCGCTCTTGTGATTAAAGTGTTCAACGTCAATATACGAATATTTAGGGGTGTTTCAGCCTTACTTGATATTAGTATTAAAATATCTTTCGGTGAAAACCTTCCTACCGATTACGTGCACAAATCCAGAATTTAAAATTTTGATGCTGGAAAACGCATTTTTCAGTTATTTCAAAAGTACAATCCGTATTTTTGTGTGTTTTTGCTTCCTTGTCTGGGTTTTCTAATATAGCTTGTGATTCTTTTAAATTTTACCATAGGTGAAAATGATGTATAATTTCGACTGACAGATAAAAAACAGCGGCGTTTGTTAAGAGTGAACAAAAGTACTATATATTAAGTTCCTGCTATTGCGTTGACTTACCATCTTCGAAAGTTGACTTATTTTGTCACACTTTTGTTAGTCCTTGATGCATGGGAAAATTCTCCTTGTTACAACCGCATTTGAAGCATTTCTTGGGGCGCGTTGAGCCATTCATTCATGCATCTACCACCAGAATATGCATCAATAGTGTTCTAAAATTATTTTAAGAAGCGTTTTTCAACGTAGTGAGGAGTCAGCATATTCTTGTAAGTTTCTTGCCTATGTTCAGCTGAAAACAGTCGCAAGCGCATGAAAATATTACCTTGACTTTGAAGCACCAGATGTGAGAAGTGGTTTGAAGAGTTGACCCTCGAAATTTCAGTTTTGTATCAAGCAGCAATGTTGTATTTTTAAAATTGGGCCAAAGTTTTGCGAACGTCAAATGCTTGAACGATTACGATTTATTCCTCCTTGAAAAACTTCTGAATCTTGGTTGATTTTTGTTATTTAAACAATGCACTAGTTGACCCGCAAGACAGTATTGTCGGGAATGTTCTGAGCTGCAAATCTGCTCCCCAAATACCGTTACAACCCTGTGTAATATAATTTCGTGAAAAGCCGAACGCACACAAGCATTTTTCCGGATCTTTCATTCAAACAAACAAAGTATCAATTAAATCCGACGCCAGTCCCTGAAGTGGACTTTTTTTCCCCTCGCTACTTTTGGAATTTCGGGAAACTGAAACGCGCGGAATTGGGTTTCTTGCGCACACAATTAAAATACCGTTCCAACCTTGTGTAATAATTTCGTGAAAAGCCAAACTCACGCAACCATTTTCCCAGATCTTTCATTGAAACCAACAAAATATCAATAAAATCCGCCAGCGCCAGTCCCTCATGCGGATTTTTTTTCCCTCGCTACTTTCGGACCTTCGGGAAACTGAAACGCGCGGAATTGGTTTTCTTGCGCCCGCAATCATTATTATATTTTTTTTCGCAATCACGCCGATTCATCGATTTATCGGACCAAGAAAAGAGAGAGCGAGAGAACCGATTCCCTATTAAATTCCGTGCTATTACCGGAAACGAATTCGGTGCTTTTTTTTTCTCCCGCAATTTTAGTGGTTCTTGATGCTTTTCTCCGAATGTTCAATCGTAGATTCTAAAATCAGAAAACATTTTTATTCCGTTGTCGAAAAAAAGTACGATAATATTTTTCGAAAGCTATTGGAATTTCGTATTAAATCCCCAGCTAAAACCCGAAACGAATTCGGTGCATCCTTCCCTTCAATATCTGTGGTTCTTGATGCTTTTCTCCAATTTTTGAATCTTATATTCTAGAGGGAGGCACGTAAAAAAAAAATTGGTAGAATAACTTGAACGAACATTTAATCTCGACCAGACTCAATGTCACTCGACTGTGTTGAAGTGGTTTTGATTTCTTTCCTTGAAGCGGACGAATCATTGTCATTCCAAGTCCTTGCGTGTGGGATTTTGTCTCAATCTTAAAGATAAACTTGCACAAGCTCAAAATAAAAAGAAAAAAAGCTATTACTGATTTAGTAATTGATCATTCGGCTAGCTGCATTTCCACCGGTTGAAGTTCGAGGGTTTCCGAAGCTACTCTAAAAGTTTCCGTCATAATTTTCTCGTAAGATTCGAAAAAGCTCCGCAAAAAATGTGTTGATTCAATCAGATGAAACGGAAACACTTCTCATGCTAGGTCCTTGAGGTGAAAAATGCTTGAAAACTGGCCACAAATTATGACGATCGAACCAACATGCTCATGCTTTTAGTTCCTAATCGTGTTTAAAAAAAATCCAATGAATGATACCAAGACATTTTTGATACTAGATATCCTTGAGCGTAGAAATCTCCGTGGTAAAAAAAATCCCAAAAATCTCGTAGGGCCCGAAAATCTTGTAGGTACAAAAATCCTGTAACGTGAATTTTGATATCAGAAAAACCTCCTATGACTTTAGGTGATGGTCTAAATATCTCAAGACCATCGTAATATTAATATTCAAAATATTTTCCGAGCCATTGGTGAATAATGTAACACAATTAATGCTCGCATTATTTAAAATACATTCAACATTTTAAAGGTTTTATTTTTCAATTCGCAGTAACTTTTGGACTACCTCTCGCGTGAAACTCGTAACAAGCCACAAGGCAGTGTTCGAAAAACCAGACTCCGCCAGAGAGGACGCCCATTCGTGTTTCTTCGCGGGGACGCCACGAATGTACTTCGGTAGAGTGTGATGCTCCAGGTGTTCCTCATTAGGAACGTGGACGTTGTGACCTTAGTGGGAATACCAGGCTGTTACCTGGAAAAACGTGCGTGTTTCGGATCACTTCAGCCGCATTAAAAAATAAATAAATAAAATAAATTGGTATAGATAAAAAAATAATGCGTTCAGGATACTGTAATTCAGACAAATTATGAGTAATTCATTTGTAAATTACCTAACTGTGTTTGGATAGACGCGGATAGGTAAACTTCGCGTTGGAACCATTTTTTTTAATTCCTCATCGAGAATTCAAAATTCTCTTCTGGTTAAAATGTTTCGGGGTGCTTCTGAAAATTGGAGCCATTCGAAAAAAAATCAGAATAGATTACAAAAAATGCGTTCAGGATACAGTGATTCAGACAAATTATGAATAATTTTAGTTGTAAAGTAACGAACTGTCATTGGATATGCACGTAAACTTCGCGTTAATTACTATGAAACCAATTTTTTGAATCCCTCCTCGGGGTTCTCTCTGCTGGTTAAAATGTTTCTGTGTGCTTCTGAAAATTCCCGGAGCTTCTCGACGCTTATGTACGCAGTAACAAGTCCGAAAAATTTCTCCGTTCAATTTCAAATAAGTTGACCGAGATGTCCCATGGCTTGTCTGATCCAGGAAAAAAAAAGTAAACAGCACATTCCGCTGAAAAAAAGAAGCGTGGGAAGGCAATCAACGTTGATGAAAAAGGTGTACGATCGTCAACAATTTTTTTTTCAGATTCGCGTCATGTTGTAATTTTTTTGTATTCGAAGTATACTTCGTAGGGAGTACATTTTCGTTCTTCTGCCCAGGAAGCTGTTGTTTTTTCTTTGTCTGTTTTATTATGGATCAAGTCCAGTCCGCATTTTCTTAGCTGACAGATGCGCAGCAATATCGAGACCGACATCTAACTCATTAATCATGAGATCCTTTTTACTACAGCTGGGCCATTTTTGGTTCAAATTAACGTACCCGAAATCGTGCTGTAATGTTTGAATGTAATACAATATTTTGCTTCAATATGGAATCAATTCTTGTGAGTATATTTAAAATGGTGACTGCGACGAAGAAAAAAAATCTAAAGCTGCACAAGGTTCGATTATAAGATTTATTGAGTCTGCGAATATTTTGTTCAAATGAAACGCATCCCTTTCGGAATAGGTTTTTCGGATCATCTTGTTTGGAATTCATGGACATTTTGTTTAAAAAACAAAAGAAGTTTTAATTCCCGAAAAAGTCAGATAACCGGGTTTGTTTCAGACAAAACTAGGGAAACCACAAGTTTTTTTCTTCTAGCGAATAGCGTGTGTCCGATTTATTTATAGTTCGGCGTATCATGTGTAAACTTGATTATAGACGAATTTATGATTCCTCCTAGAAAAAAAGTGCACTGATTATTCAGGTGTAACATCCGTCGAGATAAGCTTAAATCTGCAATAGGAATGCAGTAATAGGAATTTCAACACGTTCACATCAGTCAAATTCTTTCCACCCCCTTGATATTTTCAGTCTTTCGTTCTCATCAGGCTGTAATTATAAAGCGTCTCCATTCTTCTAGTTTTCCTGAATTTTTTATTACAGTATTCCATATGATTGCCTTCGTTTTGCGTGTGTAGGTGTCCTATAGCTCCAGAATTTCCGAATGTTGCGACTTATTCTTCAAATCACCGCCCGAAATCGGGATGCGGCCTAAAATTTCAGTCTGAGTAATTAATGAAAATAATTCTGTTATCCTATTTTAGCACCCTGTAATCAAGTCGCGCTGGATAAATGTGTTCGGGTTTCCCAGTGAAAATTTTCGTATGGCTATTCCAGTTTCTTCGTCGTACTAGTATCCCTAGCCAGTCCCCTCGGCCGCCTATTCCGAAGTCGCCCGCGTTCGAGCCGCCGCGTGTTTCTTCTCAGCCAGCCGCCCCGACCTTCAAATGCTCGGATCGCCGAAGCTTGTGCGCCCTCTCCAGTTTCCTCCCTCTCTACTTCGTCGTCTTGTGTGCACTGGAACTTCGCTCGTTTTCTTTGTGTGGGATTCTAATTCAATTCCTTGTATTCACGGTGTTGGGAGGGAAAAATAGATTCTAGTCATTCCTGTGTCAATCTGGAGTTATATACTGTACTATACAGTGGGAGCTGGAACTGTCTGTCAGAGCTCCGCGTTTACCATATTAATGCAGCGATGCGCCGCCTCGAACTGTCTGAGTGACGCCCTTTTTGTAGAAAACTGTACAAGTCGAAAAAAAAAAATCGGGAGTTTCTGCCAAAATTAAGGCGTGTGTACACTGTCAGAACCTGCTTGTTTTCGAGAAATGTAGACCCCAATACCATATTCAGTTGAACCTGGATAACTGGAACCTCTCTCAAGTTGGATTTTTTTCAACTCCCCCCTCCCCCCCGGATCCGGGTAGAAACAGTGCATTAAAAACCTCCTAACTCGGAGGCTTTTCCTCTAAATCTAAAACCTCCATGACTGGAATTTTCTGAGGCCTTTTGGCTGTAATTGTCTTGACACAAGAAAGAGGAAAGCAATAAAAAATTGACTTGATCTGTTTTGGAATGAAGTGGAAGACTAATTGTGCAAATGAGCCTCCAAGTTCAGCATCCTGTCAATTCACTCAAGAAAGTCACCTTTTACAATATCCTACAATTCTTATGTTTCCCACAAAAAAATTCTTGTTTCCGGAACACCAAACCTGCCAAGAATATTTTTGCTGTTGCTGGTCCCTAGAAATTCGATGAATCGCCTCCGTCTATCTTAAGTACAACCTTCTTGGTAGAAAACTGTGCAAGCCGCAAAAAAAATCGAGAGTTTCTGTCAAAAGTGAAATGTGTCGACTATGTCAGGACCTGCTTAATTTCAAAAAATATAGACCCCAATTGTTTCCAAATTCAACGAAAAGTGTCCAATCTTCTGGAAGACAGAACCAGGGATGCATGATGAGCGCAGTTTCGCACGTTAATCATAAATCTCGGGATCTTTCATCAGTCTCCCTTCTCCAAAGCTTAATTCACGTTAGCTTATCCCCCTGTTCTGTCGCACGAATCGCATGTAAAGGCTTCGCTGATTAAGAAGGATTACGTTCCAGGAAGTCAGTTTAGAGTGAGATCTGTGCTTGTTGGATGGGTGAGACGCGTGTCCTTCGTCGCGGAAGGTGTCACGACCCGTGGGGATGGTTGGGAAACTCTAGCGATGACTAAGACGATGTCAGAAAAATGTTGGAGTAATCGCTTTGTGGGTCTTCTTGGGCAGCACGAAAAAGTGGTGCGGTCATGACGTTCAAAGCCACGTTTTCTTCTGTTTAAAGAACGGTGACAGACGAGCTGTCCACTTTATGACCATGAGCGAGTCCGTGGACTGTGAAGAAGAAAAGAAAAAACCGTTCTGACACGTATCTTGATAAATCCTCAACTGGCCCTGCGAATGTGTGGAAATTCAAAGAAAAATTAAAAACGAATGCATAGCATTGAATCTCTTTGATTTATTTAAGGTTGGGTTTCTACATTTTCGTGCGCTCGATAAAATTGGGTTGGGGATTTTTGCGATCGCATCGTTACGTTGCGTGATGAGATCAGGTTGAAATTGAATTTTGGAAAAGAAAAAAACCTTCACGAGGTGTGGTTCTTGACGAAATTTTATTGCATATAATTTTCCAGAAGAAGTTCATAATTATTGTCATTACCTTTACACGCAGCTCATTTGTCTGTCATTTTCTTCAGTTGCAGGTCTGCATTGCGTATTCACCAATGGATGTTTCAGGGTAATCGTCGAAGTCCGTATCAATAACACAGAAACAAATGCCGAGACCATTAGAGTACTGTATTTCATGTAAATATGATTGCCACATCTGACGCGAGAATAATGCAAAATTATTTGGTAACATTCGGACTTTTTCACCCTGATTATTTTGATACCTTGTCTTAATTTCCGTGTACACCGTTAATCCCAAAAATATCCAAGAGACATTATTCGAAAACTCCCGTCGGTGAATATTTTGGAGAAACTTTTTTTTAGCATTGAAGCTCTCTTCAGAATGCTAGACCATTTTTTTTACGGAATTGTTATTCAAGGAAATAAAATCAGAGCACGTTGGGAAGGCAAATTTGAATATTCGAGAACGTCATTACCATTTGGAACCGGTAAGTATTTTTAGTTTTCGGAAAGACCGTTTCGAGTTGTGCTTTTGATCTTTTATTCATGTATGTTTTGCGCTGATCCTGTTCTGAAGGCCAGGGATTTTGTATTTTGAAAGTCATATTGATTTCTGTAGAAAATAATAGATTATTTCCGAAACTTCCATTTCATTCACGCAACGAAGATAAATTTGAATACGGCAGAGCGTGAATATACGATTGAACCACTGAATATTTCGGCCTTTTCTGGGAAGAAAGTTTGGCTTCGGTTGGGAATTGTATGTACAGTATTTTATCTTCGATCACTTGGAACTTTTATATGCACCAAACAACTCAACTTTTAAAGCAGAATCAGAGAACTATTATTTTTTCATTTTTTGGAATGCGTTGAACAAATCTAAATGTAGTAAATATCGGAAGATGCAGTTAAAATATTGCAAAGTCTACGCTCAATCAATTGTCAGGATTTACGATTTTCTAAACTTTAACAGACGCCCGAAGTCGCGAATGAAAATGTTAAGGCTTGTCTGTTGAATATTTTTTCCCGTTTGGTAACGGTTCAAACTCACACATTTCAAAAGTAAATGTGAGCAAACCAATTTTAATTTCAATCCAATGTTTTGACTGTAAAGCTAAGAGAATGATGCACAATCCACAATTATTATCAAATATGAGCTTTTTTTTTGAAATGAGATCACTGGCTTTTGCAATCGTTCGAACTCGTTCCCTTGTTGAGGTAGTAGTGTATTTCGATCCAAATTTTTGCTCTTTATTTATTGAACTTATTCATATTCAAATCCCCAGATGAAATATGGGAATTTGAATCTGAAAAATGAAACTTCACTTTTTTCTTCTTTAACTGCGCATACGCATCCGATATTTTCCATCCGCTTGTTTGAATTTTTCCCTCCGACAAATTTCGCGACATCGAAATCTACCTGAATCTTGAAGGAACATTCATGCCATGAAGTGAATGTCATTGCAAAATTTCATGATTATTTGTAGAAGAGTCGAGGGACGATCTGAAAAAAGAATATCACGTATTCCTTCTCCAAACTACACATACCCATCTCCGAATTTTCCTGCCGCTCGTTTGAATTTTTTCCTTGGACGAATTTCGTGCCGTCGAAATCTACCCATTCTCTTTTTTATGTGGATCTGATTATTGACAAATGTGTCATGAAGTTATTGCTAAATGCCATGATTATTCGTAGAAGAGTCGAGTGATGATCCGCTTTCGCATGCAAGTGTTTTCGTGAAACCATGTGAGCCTCGGGGCTCACATTCGTGCCACCCGGGTGCCTCGCCGGGAACCAGAAGTGTCCGAAACTCTACACTTGACCACTTGTGTGTGTGTTTTTGTGAGTGTGTGATGAAGGCACTGCTCGAGCCATGGCAGCTATGAGTGGCACTGTGCAAAAACCCCCTGGTCTCCCGCGCCACATGAGCTGGTCCGCGGGCAAGGCCAACAAAGAAACCATTCTCGAGAAAATCGGCCTGATGCGAGGCGCCAAATCCCCGGGCGCCGCTCGTCGCGCCGCCAACGCACGCAACTTATCCTTCCTCACGCAAAAGCTCGCCAACGGCTCATCCAGCATCTACCAAAACGTGCCCATCAAGAAGAAACCCCAAAATGGCCACCAGCACCACCACAAGAAGCAACTGCACCCTGGCCCGCGCCAGATCGGGGTGCCTGTGCGCCCTGCACCTGCTCCACCGGCGTTGCGATCGCCGCAGGACGCCAAATTGCCGCCATTGCCGCCGGGTACTCGACCTCGTAGCCCGGGACCCTTGGGTCGTGTGAATGGGATGCTCTTGACGCATAAGCCCGAACCTGAATCCGTGTTGTCGTGTGCCTCGTCGTCTTGGAGCGATGACGAGTCGACATTTTCTAGCACGGCGGACTCGGCGATCGAGCCCGAGGAAGAAGTGTACGTGGACTGTACTTCGTCTACGATTTACTTGGGGAACTATCGCGGCAGTTGTGGCAGTGAAATCGACGCATATTCCAGCTATTATTCCACGGGCAGCTACAAGGGGTTGCAGGACTGTGCGAAAAAGCATCCTTCGGGCTTTCACGCGGCGTTGAGAGTCAAATATTTTCACGAAGGATGGGATCGGGAGGATCAAGAGCTCACTATTTGTTTCGGAGAGGAAAAAGAAGGTAACGAATCAAAACGGGGAATCGTGTTATCGCGAGAAGCGTAGAAAAAAAAACATCCTGTGGGTCACAGCGATGGTTGCCCTTTTTTTTTTTATAGCTNCTGTCATTTTCTTCAGTTGCAGGTCTGCATTGCGTATTCACCAATGGATGTTTCAGGGTAATCGTCGAAGTCCGTATCAATAACACAGAAACAAATGCCGAGACCATTAGAGTACTGTATTTCATGTAAATATGATTGCCACATCTGACGCGAGAATAATGCAAAATTATTTGGTAACATTCGGACTTTTTCACCCCGATTATTTGATACCTTGTCTTAATTTCCGTGTACACCGTTACTCTTAAAAATATCCAAGATACATTCTTCGAAAACTCCCGTCGGTGAATATTTTGGAGATTTTTTTTTAAACCATTGAAGCTCCCTTTCGAATGCTAGACCATTGTTTTTTTTTTACGGAATTGTTATTCAAGGATTTGTTATTCTGATTTCAAATAAAATCAGAGCACGTTGGTAAGGCAAATTTGAATATTCGAGAACGTCATTACCATTTGGAACCGGTAAGTATTTTTAGTTTTCGGAAAGACCTTTTCGAGTTGTGCTTTTGATCTTTTATTCGTGTATATTTCGCGCTGATCCTGTTCTGAAGGCCAGGGATTTTGTATTTTGAAAGTCATATTGATTTCTGTAGAAAAAAAATAGATTATTTCCGAAACTTCCATTTCATTCACGCAACGAAGATAAATTTGAATACTGCAGAGCGTGAATATACGATTGAACCACTGAATATTTCGGCCTTTTCTGGGAAGAAAGTTTAGCATCGGATGGAAATTGTATTTTATCTTCGATCACCTGGAACTTTTAGATGCGCCAAACAACTCAACTTTTAAAGCAGAATCAGAGAACTATTATTTTTCATTTTTTGGAATGCGTTGAACAAATCTAAATGTAGTAAATATCGGAAGATGCAGTTAAAATATTGTAAAGTCTACGCTTAATCAATTGTTAGGATCTACGATTTTATGAATTGTGACAGACGCCCGAAGTCGCGAATGAAAATGTTAAGGCTTGTCTGTTGAATATTTTGTCCCGTTTGGTAACGGTTCAAACTCACGCTTTTCAGAAGTAAATGTGAGCAAAACAATTTTAATTTCAATCCAATGTTTTGACTTTAAATTTGAAAGAATGATGCACAATCCACAATTATTATCAAATATGAGTTTTTATTTTTGAAATGATATCCCTGGCTTTTGAAATCGTTCGAACTCGTTCCCTTGTTGAGGTAATAGTTTCTTTCGATCCAAATTTTTGCTCTTTATTTATTGAACTTATTCATATTCAAATTCCCAGATGAAATATGGGAATTTGAATCTGAAAAATGTAACTTCACTTTTTTCTTCTTTAACTGCGCATACGCATCCGATATTTTCCATCCGCTTGTTTGAATTTTTCCCTCCGACAAATTTCGCGACATCGAAATCTACCTGAATCTTGAAGGAACATTCATGCCATGAAGTGAATGTCATTGCAAAATTTCATGATTATTCGTAGAAGAGTCGAGGGACGATCTGAAAAAAGAATATCACGTATTCCTTCTCGAAACTACACATACCCATCTCCGAATTTTCCTGTCGCTCGTTTGAATTTTTTCCTTGGACGAATTTCGTGCCGTCGAAATCTACCCATTCTCTTTTTTATGTGGATCTGATTATTGACAAATATGTCATGAAGTTATCGCTAAATGCCATGATTATTCGTAGAAGAGTCGAGTGATGATCCGCTTTCGCATGCAAGTGTTTTCGTGAAACCATGTGAGCCTCGGGGCTCACATTCGTGCCACCCGGGTGCCTCGCCGGGAACCAAAAGTGTCCGAAACTTTACACTCCACTTGTGTGTGTGTTTTTGTTTTCGTGAGTGTGTGATGAAGGCACTGCTCGAGCCATGGCAGCTATGAGTGGCACTGTGCAAAAACCCCCTGGTCTCCCGCGCCACATGAGCTGGTCCGCGGGCAAGGCCAACAAAGAAACCATTCTCGAGAAAATCGGCCTGATGCGAGGCGCCAAATCCCCGGGCGCCGCTCGTCGCGCCGCCAACGCACGCAACTTATCCTTCCTCACGCAAAAGCTCGCCAACGGCTCATCCAGCATCTACCAAAACGTGCCCATCAAGAAGAAACCCCAAAATGGCCACCAACAGCACCACCACAAGAAGCAACTGCACCCTGGCCCGCGCCAGATCGGGGTGCCTGTGCGCCCTGCACCTGCTCCACCGGCGTTGCGATCGCCGCAGGACGCCAAATTGCCGCCATTGCCGCCGGGTACTCGACCTCGTAGCCCGGGACCCTTGGGTCGTGTGAATGGGATGCTCTTGACGCATAAGCCCGAACCTGAATCCGTGTTGTCGTGTGCGTCGTCGTCTTGGAGCGATGACGAGTCGACATTTTCTAGCACGGCGGACTCTGCGATCGAGCCCGAGGAAGAAGTGTACGTGGACTGTACTTCGTCTACGATTTACTTGGGGAACTATCGCGGCAGTTGTGGCAGTGAAATCGACGCATATTCCAGCTATTATTCCACGGGCAGCTACAAGGGGTTGCAGGACTGTGCGAAAAAGCATCCTTCGGGCTTTCACGCGGCGTTGAGAGTCAAATATTTTCACGAAGGATGGGATCGGGAGGATCAAGAGCTCACTATTTGTTTCGGAGAGGAAAAAGAAGGTAACGAATCAAAACGGGGAATCGTGTTATCGCGAGAAGCGTAAAAAAAAAACATCCTGTGGGTCACAGCGATGGTCGCCCTTTTTTTTTATATAGCTGACGCTCATGAATATGGTAATACCTGTACTGAATATACGTATACATTTGCTTCTCCTTGAAACTGAGTTACACCATCAGCGATTTATAAACTGGGAACGTTTTCAGACTGTTTTCGCTCACTCGTATAATGGTTCATAGTTTACTTATAGTTATCTCATTTTCAGTTTAAAAAAGAAGCAAATGGAAAGCACGTGCTAAGTGATCAAAAGTTTGGCTGTACTTCGCTTTGAAATTTCGTAGACTATAGAGCATACAACATTTTACATTTTTAGTTCCTGATTTCTTTATGGATACGTGCAATCCGGTCCGCATTTCTTACCGCTTTTTTGCTCCTCAGTCGATAAACTTCGCAAGATTCTTCATTCAAAATTTATGAGGTAGTCGCTGGGTTTTAATGAAAGAGGTATCAAGATGATGAATGGTCGAGAGCCTGCGTATTCAGAAAACCGTCCAAGGTCGGATAGTTTTTAAGGATTGATCTACCAAGCACTCTCCCTTTCGTCGAGATTTCCAGTGTAATCATGGCCGAAACACGCACAGGATGATTTACATGGTTCGTTCACGATATAAATCACTTTCATTGAAAAAAAAGAGAAACCTTTGACATTAGCGATTCATTCCTGTGCTGTAATTGCAAAGGGTTCTAGACGAAGTTCAGTGCTTCTGGACAAGAGGCGATCAAAAATGGTATAATGTATATACATCAGAATGTTTCTTCGCACGGATTCTATGAGTCTGACTTGGGTTTTGTTTTTTCGAAGATTTATATCGCGTTGTACATCTATCTTTGAGGAGCCCACTTAAGGCAATATGCACTATGTTCTACATCGGCTTGTTCAGATTTTCTTGGAATTGCACGAGGGAGGGAAGATTAAATCCCAACAAACGGAAAAATAGGACATTCGTATAACTCTGTAGAAATCACTGAATTCTTCAAGTCCTCAGATTATGCCCTCCCTTTTTCACTTCTGCGCAATAAATAATTCAAAAATACTCGAAGTGCAGGATAACTCGAATAAAGTTTTGTATTTGTAGAATCTCACTACCATGCATCCCGAAGAATACAAGTTTCCTGGCTTTAATCCTTTTCAAAAATGAAATAAGTCTATGAATAACGGATAACCAGACAACCATTAGTATTTTGTTGTCAGGTGAGCGAAATTAGCATTAAAATTCATGGATAAAATTATAGATTAAATTGTCTCTCGCATGATTTAAAGCTTGGAAGTACTTTTTTGTGAGGGGGGGGGGATCCTTTTTGACGGTCAAAATATTTTGTGGAGATTTTCCATGCTGGCTCCGCGGGCCAGATGAAAAGCCTCCGCGGGACAGATCTGGCCCGCGGGCCGTATCTTGGGCACCACTGATTTACATGGTTCGTTCGCCATATAAATCACTTTCATTGAAAAAAAGAGAAACCTTTGGCATTAGCGATTCATTCCTGTGCTGTAATTGCAAAGGGTTCTAGACGAAGTTGAGTGCTTCTGGACAAGAATTGATCAAAAATGGTATAATTTAATTGCATCAGAATGTTTCTTCGCACGGATTTTATGAGTCTGACTCGGGTTTTGTTTTTTCAAAGACTTATATCGCGTTGGACATCTATCTTTGAGGAGCCCACTCAAGGCAATAAACAGTATGTTCTACATCGGCTTATTCCGATTTTCTTGGAATTGCACGAGGGAGGGAAGATTGAATCCCAACAAACGGAAAAATAGGACATTCGTATAACTCTGTAGAAATCACTGAATTCTTCAAGTCCTCAGATTATGCCTTCCCTTTTTCACTTCTGCGCAATAAATAATTCAAAACGACTCGAAGTGCACGATAACTCGAATAAAGTTTTGTATTTGTAGAATCTCACTACCATGCATCCCAAAGAATACAAGTTTCCTGGCTTTAATCCTTTTCAAAAATGAAATAAGTCTATGAATAACGGATAACCAGACAACCATTAGTATTTTGTTGTCAGGTGAGCGAAATTAGCATTACAATTCATGGATAAAATTATAGATTAAATTGTCTCTCGCATGATTTAAAGCTTGGAAGTAATTTTTTGTGAGGGGGGGGGGGATTCAAGTTACGAAATAATTTTAAGGGGGTGAATGGATAGAAGAAAAAAGAAATTCTTCCAACGAGTTGATGTTTCTCCGAATGGTAAAAATATGTTTCTTTCTCTGCCTCACGTTCAAATTCGGTGATAATGTCTCAATTAGAGGGTAATTATGATCAAAATATATCATTTACTTCGGTGCCCAAGGAATGTGTTGGGAATGTTTAATGGCGATGTAAATTGTGTGTGTGATTTTAAAATCGCGGTAGAAGCGGGATACAGGTATGATTTTTTTATCTCTTCCTACAACGAACCTCAAAAGGGACCAGGAAAAATTTCTTTGTTAAGAATCCCTATGACATAAGAAGAGTACCGTATGCCTATGGGCCAACAAAAGTTCGTTGTCTAGAGAAAATCGTTGTAGACGAGACATTTGTAGAGAGAGTCCACCTGCATTAGTTAATAAGTTTCACAACTCTAAAATCTTTGAATCCTTTTCTGAATTTCAATATTCGTGATTCCCTATCTGACCTCGTCCCTAGATTTAAAAATATTCCAAGTGAGCCCCCAGTTGTTTATTATTTTTTTGCATGTGTCGTGGTCGATCGCAGTCGAGAGTCGAGATGCGTTATTTGCATCTGTTGAGCCCGAGCCCCGTTTCATTCCCTTTTTGAATAAGCAGGACGGTCGTGGCGTCCGAGTGCGTTTCTGGACGCCGTATGCCTTTCATGGAATACGAGGGCGCCCACGAATGTCGAGGATTCAAAGCCCCTATAGAGAAGAAATATACCGCCTTGCTCTCGGAATCTGTTCTTGTGCCCCCTCAGGGAAGCAGCATTCCGAATGACGGTGCTGTGCAACGAACGCTCACACCCTGGCCTGGGGGAAGGAATGAACTTGAGGCCCGCATGAGAGCCTGTGTCCTTTCTTGTTTCTCTTTGTTTTTATTATCCCGAAATGGAAGAGAATAAGTACTGCACAGTTCATCCACTCGAGCCAGTACTATGTCTTCATACTTCTGCCGAGATTATGTCTACTGATTTGAACGGGGTGGATCTCGAAAGTTCTTACTTTGACTCATGTTACAGCTGAACCTGTTTAATTCTAATTTCAAGGGACCAGAAAAAAATAAAATTTCGACTCAAGGACATTTTGATTTTAGGGGAACTGAAAATCTACAATACTATTTTTTCTGAAGATAGTACAAAATAATTACAGGAAATTAAAATTGGTGATCTTCAGTGGCTCAATTTCCTGAATAAATGAGTTTACAGGATGCTGAACTTGGAGTTCCTTTTGAAAATTATCAATTCTAATTGGTACTGTGTTTTTATTTCCCGGCTATTCCAGAATAAAACCTCAAAGGCTTGCAAACATTCGAATTGCTGAGTTTTCAGGAAAGAAGTCTTCGAATTAGGGAGATTTATTGAACAATGTTCTTGAGTATATGTTGGACCTGAAAAAAAACGTTGACGTAGGGGAGGGTTTAATTTTCGAGGTTCAACGGTATTTCTGAAATAATTTTTCCCGGCCATGATTCATCCAACAATTTTTTTAAAAAGTAAGGCTGCATTCCGTAATTACGAAGGAAATAGATTCCATGTTTCTTCAATGAATAACGAGGCTTTTATTGAGAAAATCGGTTGAAAGCTGAAAAACGGATGAACGAACGCCTCGAAAGTTAACGGAAGGCTAGCGACTGACCTGGAATTTTAATTTGACTTGGAGTTAGTTATCGTGAGTAACAATTTCAAATTAACTCCGATTGACGAATGCAGGTGAATTCTTCCACGATTTGTCGACGGCAATTTTCTTCAAACGAGTTTTTCTTCCGATTATTGTACTGTATGAGCAGCTCATTTATAACGGTATTCTCTAGAAAGATAATTTATGGATTTATGAGCATTCTTTTTCAACCGTCCGTTTGAATTTTTCCTAATTCGTTGATAATCCAACGATCTGTTGAAAAATAATTGTTTTCAACCGTATTGCTTTTGAATCGTGAGTTTCATTTCAGTACCTGGATGTGCACATTTTTGGTGATGTCGAGCAAACCATGCTTGAAGGACGCAAACTCATCTTTTGATTATTTAGAGTAATGAAAAAAAAACTCGTATTCAGGACAGCTGCAAATTTGATTTACAGTGAATGAGCGGAGTCGTGATGCCAGATTTCAAAAACCGTTTCTTTTACATGAAAATTTAATGTATTCAGCGAATTTATGTGACATTTTGACTATACAGTACAAATTCGCAAGAAGCCTTTTTTCAGTCTTTTTTTTTTTTTTAGCTGCAGAAATGAAATGCTCGTTATCCGAAAAAAAGGCTTCACGGCTGTCAAATATTTTCATCATCGCCTTCCAGGTGATTGGGTTGCACAGCAATATGATCGATGCAGTGGTTCATCGATGCTCTTGTGAATGCCCGCAATCTGGAAGGAATGTTGATGCAGACAAATTAGTTCAAGTGGCGGCTCAGTCGTTGAGGATAATCGCCTGGAATTCTTGAGCCTTTTGTCCATGGCGACTCGGACGTAACGGATAAGCTTTAGATTATTCCGGGCCAAAGAGTTTCTAGGAGAACGTCGGTCAGACGTCAGGATGGGGTCTTGACCAAAAAAGGAAAAAAAAAGAAATTGTGTTCTTCAAAGAAAAAATAAAATCGTAAATTGATGAAAACGTGTTCTTGGACGTCTTCAGCGATTTTGGTGGGAATGATGTTAGAATTCCCATGAGTCAATGACTCATCGAATCGCTGGCATGTTTGATCTTGTTCATGGGTAACGTCCCTAGATGGCACTGTATCTTCGAAAGGGTTTCTTCATTATACTGCTCGCCTCCTTTCCGAGTGTCCGAGCTTAAATCTAAAATCTATGCAGTATTTTTAGCTCTACCTTACGAAACAGTTTTGCTGGGACCTTTGGAAATAAATAGAATTGAGAAATCCCGAGTTCTATAAATGGACACGCGCAGAACCAATCGCTCCACCCGGCATCCTGTCGACATCCGCGATCGGAGAAACCCGGGTTTACGAAGGACGGTTCATAAGTTTTGGAAGTCATCAAATTCACTTCGATAAATGAACCCTTTAAATTTCATCAAAATTCCTTAGTATATCCTTGAAATTTTGAATCTAGAAACAGCTTTCTGTGATATTTCCTCGTCAACCAATGACAAGCCAGTGCTCTTAGATACGAGTCCCGTTTGTTCAAGGAAATCAATCATTTAATAAATGTTCTCGTTCGCTCACGCATGAACTTCATTTTTTGACGTTGTGGAAACCCGCAACTGTCCTTTTTTCATCTCTGTGTACACCTGATAGGGCACAATTTTCTTTTTTCGTTGACGAACACACAAAAAGCGCGACTTTTTCAGCGAAAGCAAATTTGCAAGGGTCTGAAAAAATATCGCGCCTCATAATCTTAACTTTTCAGAGGGAATAAAGGAAAATCAAATGCATCTAATTTTTAATTGCTTAATATTTTAAAGTAATTATTTCTCTGCTCAGAGTGCTGATGGAAAGAAATCCAAGAAAATTCTAGATTAAAAATTAGCAAATTTAAACGCTGAAGGTCAGCGTAAAATACTTTCCAGTTAAGTGAGGCCCCGCATGACGAAAGACCCGCGCAACGAATACTTCTCATAAATAAAACTCTTTGTAGAAAAAATTGGCTCACATTTCAAACCTAAGGCATATGTATTTGATCATTTTTTAATTTAAACTGAAAAAAATCAGATTTATGTGAAAATACGGGTATAGTTTTTCATCTTCGTGCTTTTAAATTCGAGAAATTTAGAAAGTTACTTACGAAAAGAATGTCAGGACTACTGTACTTCAATTTCATTCTCAGTAATATCAAATTTACCAGTAATATCAAAAATTTTTATGGCTCATTGAAGTATTTTGTGGAGTTACCGGAACCGATTAGATCAATTACAGTGCACTGCAATCTTGAGGGAAAACGCATTTTACATAACGAAAGCTCAGCGTAACAAAACTCATCCAGGAACGGATGAACTTATCCAGAGACCCTCGCACGAGTCTCGAAAGCTTTTGAACCATATTCCTGGTATTTTTTTAATCGCTGCCGAGAATCTACTTCTTTAAGCTTTTATTTTTGTTTCTACATAATTTTTGTTATTGTTCATTTTATTAGAGGTTCACGACGAGGCCGTCGAACCGTGGCGTTACGACGCTGTTTTCCCCTCGGTTATAAAGCAGGGTTCCGGGCGCACCTTGCTCCGAATTCTTGAGTTGCAGGCCTACGACCGAAAGTAAATACGGTTATGGCACGTATTGAACCATGTGTACGTCGAAGAAATTCCACAGGGGTATTTGTGGAAATCCTCGAGTTTTCCCTACAAACCACAAAGTAATACAATATTCAGATAAGCTAGTTTCTTTGTTTCGCGCGGTTCTTCTCTCATCCTCAAACTCAAGAAATAGTTACATTTTTTCAGAAGTAACTCCGGTGGATATTTTCTATTTCAAATAAATAGCAGTCCTTGCTTGACAAATTCCTGATTGAATGAACTTGTGAGACGAACATATTTTAAACCGACTAGATTTGATGTCACTGACCAATAGGAAAGTGACTTCCGTTTTTATTTTTCAAACGAAAAGTTCAAGATGATTGTTTCTCCTTATTTGTGGGACTTTTCTCTACAGTATTATGACAATAAACTTGCGAGAAAAAAACAGAGAAAAACTCTAAATTGATCATTGGTGCCGGCATTGATTTTTCGAAAACCCTATATCATCACAGTCAATTGCTCCAGTAAATTGTTATGTGGTAGTTTCCGAAGCCGAGAAAGGAGCTTTGGGAAAAATCCTTGAAAGATTTGAAATTATGGTTCCAGCTGTTGATAATCAGCTCCAAAAAAAGAGAAAGATGAATTTTGCTGCCATTTTTTGTGTTTGATGAATTCTTTGACGTGCATCAAAAGGAATATAAATTATTGTTCCGAACAGAGCGAACATTTCAAGGCTCATGGCGAAATATTTTGATTGAAATATGATCCGACCCAAAAGATATGCAGGTCTTTGGCTTGCCAATCCGATAACCTTCGGAACCCGTCGTGATTCTCGAAATTTGAGTGCCGAGCCAACAAGACAAATATGAAGCATTTTAGGTTTCTTGTGCGAATGTCGATTGTGATTAGTGTTCTGTATCCGCATATTCAGGGCTGATTATCGCTAGCGATATTTGTGTCGGGATGAAAGCTCCATTATATTTTTATACCTACGCAAGCACTATAAAAAGTATTGGCTTCCGGATTCTCCGCAGTTACTCGTCAATTTCCTGGATAAGATTTGATTAAAAGAAAAATTAAAGCAGTTCTATGTATATTTTTGAACCTCTTCGTATTTCCGAATGATACATGTTCGATTGCTCTGTGCGAATACAGTATCATACATGCATTTTCTGTTTAAACCGACAAACCCTTATTTTTCGAAGCGAATTTTTTTCGAGATCGCAAGTCTTGGGTCGCCCAAATACACTAGTTTTCTGTCTACCACGAGCATGTCTCGACAATTTGAAAATTTGTAAAGCGTCGCATAATTCTGTGTGTCAAACTGCATTTTCTTTCGAAGATTCAAAGCATCCGTGCTATGATCGTGATTTTTTTTTGCTTCGTGCGATTTGCAGCCTTAAAAGCAGTGCAGCACAGTGTTGTACACTGAACATTGAGCGTATTTTCTATATTCGATGGGAAGACTTGAATACTGTGTGACCAGCATTTGACCAGTGATTATTTGAGTATAGTAGATTTGGGGAATTGTGGAAAGGACTTTTTAACTATACCCTTTTTGTGTCTCTGAATGACTCGGTGATTGAGTGAATTTGCGGCTATGCATTATTAGCACGAACGCTGGGAACAAATCGACCCAATTTGTCGGAGTCACTTAGCTGAGTACAGTACTGTACCCGATTTTTCTGAGACCAAAAAAAAAAAAAGGTGCCGACTTCGGTGCTGGCGGCGAACAAAACGCCATTGGCAGAAATCCGAAAGAAAAAGCTCGTTTCTTTTTTTTCCAACCTTCTTTTGTATATCTTGTAAAGGGGAATGAAAGAAAAAAAAAACTCCGTGTGAATGAGGTCGACTCGTGTCACGTGACCTAACAGACAGAATGCTTTCAGTCGTGTTCGTGAAAATTCTCTGGGCATTCACGCTCTCGGTTTCATGTGCTCTGCCTTCGAATAGCGACTCCAGGGATTTTTCCCACGGTTAACCCCCCCGTGTTCGTGCCGCGAATTACGGCCAGTGTTGCTTTGATTAGGGGACTTTTTTGGTTTGCCACTTGTATTCCCCCCCCCCCCGACCTTTTCCATGTCTCGCAACACTGTGCACTGAAAAAGGAGGGAAAAAGTTTTCGCGTTCCGTTTGATGAAGTCTCGTGGTACCCGTTCAAAATGCTGATTCTTTCCTCACGTTGGGGAATGAAGAGGAAAATCGAAATATATATTCTCGACCACTCTGCGAATCGTAAAAATCGTAGATGGAAACAAATTCCCTTGTTCGCTTTCACGACCTTCTGTAGCTGGAAAAGGAAGTAATCTTCCGCGTGAATTGTTCAATGATTGCGATAAGTGGGGGCCATGGACCGATATTCACTTTCAGAAAAGGCATCGGAGTATACAGGAGTAATTTTCGAAAGGTTTAAAAGCAAATATACCGATTTTATCACTTCATCATTTTCGAAGTACCCAATTTGTGATTAAAGCAGTGCATTGGATCATGAAATAGGTTTTCTGTATCCTTTTTTTGTCGGCCGAACGAACGAGAATACAGTACGTAATTAAATGAACGTAGATCGACCGGTCTGCTTTTATCTCGATTTGCCCATTTCGTCGCGAATAATGAAGCTCAATTTATAGTCAACTCACTTCGGTAAATTGATTAAGCGTCGATGGAGTCTCCATTTTTTGCTGGATAGTATTCCCCGCAAAAATAACCTCTTTTCAGATCGATCTCGAAAAAGACTTCTTTTTTTAACAAGTTCCTCAACGACAAAGCGACACACAACAACAGATAAAACCTTCAATATTTTCCGTTGAGAAAATTTTAAAAATCTCTGAGTCAGTGAACTTTTTTTTTTGTGGACAGAAGGGGATTTATATCTCACGAAAGTGCGACGTTGCATGCTTTTGATGGAAAGTTGTTTCGCTTTTTTTGGGGGTTATTACGTGTATCCCTCCATAAGCTGAAAATGATCTCGATCGGAAACTGCGGCGCAAACTGTTCTCAAATATCTCAAGCACTGGGCAGCATCGACATTTTCAAGAAACAGTGCAACATTTTCGCGTTGAGAAACCGAGCCTTTGTTGGATTTGAAAAGTGTTTCTAATTTAAATCTGTTTCCTTTCTTTCTTTGTCGACAGGCGGAGACGAGGCGTCGGGAGAAGACGAATCGTCGACTGAGGAAGGAGACCACACGTACGAGTCCCTCTACGACGTGATCGGCTCTTCAAATCGGCTTGATCGTGTGAGTCAACCAGGTGTCGACAATGACGTCGTTGTCGACGGCGAAGACGTCAGTTTCGACGACGAACTTTTCGATGATTCTTTTGACTCCGCGTCCGACGACGAAAATGCGAAAGGCGGCACGCTGACGGTATGTGCGTCCCGACGCGATCTATGCATTATTTTTCTGGGTTCCTTCTCTTCTGGTTCTCTGCTCGCATGCCGGGGTTGCATGTTGTCGACGCTGGTGCCTGTCGTTCCTGCTGCTTCTTGTTGGTTTAGTAGCGCCTTCCTGGCTACGGTATGATGATAATGCTTGGTGCCTCCGAGGACAAGGCCTTTTTATTTTCAAATATGTTTTTTTTAATAATTCAATTTAAATTAAAAATTGCATGACTCGGTGATGGGGATTGCGTACCACCCTCTGGGTATAATTACTACAGCTTCCCCTAGAATTAAATAATTATTGCTTCGTGCATTCGAAAATGGGACGAAAATTAGTGACGCCCTCAGCACGAGGTCGATTTTTCTGTTTAAACGTGATGTGAGAAATTTTTTTGTCAAATTTATTCGTTGTCAAGTCTAGAGGCTGGATCTGGTGTTGCTTTAGTGTCGGAGCAGCGAAGAATAGAAACTCGGACTGGAATGTTTTCCTTGAAGCAATCAATAGTTTCGAATTTCATCTCCAAAAAACTAAAAACTTGTCCAGATAATGCGAGAAAGAACCCTCGAAAACGTTGTCACTTCGATGATGCATGTAATCTTGAAATTTGAGTCTGAGTAACAGTGTGGAATTTCCCTCTTTTAACACTATCCAGTGTATCTTTACTCAAATTTCGAGATTATATGACTCACCGAAAATACTGTAGTCGAGTTATTGCAGACCCTTGCTTATTTTATGAATTTACTGAGAGATTTCTGTGGAAGATGCAATTTTATCGTATGATTTCCACTTGATCCGGGACCCCTGAGTCAGTTTCCCTAATATTTTGCCTTCTCTTCTGCCTGTAAAAATGTTCACTACATTTGATGAGTTTCTTTCACGAATTGACCAGTGCTTGAAAAGCCTACTTCGATGCTGAGCAAAGAAATCTCGCATAACGTTCAATTTTTCAACAGATATGCGAGTAACAACGATTGAAAGCCTTTTTCTAAGCGAAGCATTTTCCCCTTTTAAAATTTGCACCATTCACGTGAATATGAGTCGCATATTGATTGTAAGACTTTATTAAGTACCTCAGAATGGGTAACTCCCAGATATAATTATGAAAAATGCGGGTGAATCATGTGAAATAATGAATCATGCTCCAAATTTCCGCAAAATCTGCCTGAAAAACGAGTGAAGGGAAAAAAGGGAGAATTTTAAACTGCTTTCATCTGAGTTTACATATGAGATGTTTCTCTGATGAAGTAGAATAATGGTTAACAAACTAGCTAACAATACTGTAGCATGTCTAAAATTGTGATCTGGAAAAAAATATTGATGTTTTATGCTCTCTGACATTTGCGTTTTCGGATCGCCAGTTTTCTTTATTTGGTTCAGATCTTACGTGAAACTTACCCCTAGTGTTATGAAAAATCTTCGATAATTTAATTTTATTTGATATTGATCGCTTCGGTGAGCTTAGATTTCCGGGTAACCTCATGGACTTGCTCGTTTTTCATCCCTATTTAGCATTTCGTCCAATCTAAATACTTCACTCCCTGTGTTTTTTTTTTTAAGATAAGAAATGAAAGAATTGCGTCTCATGTTCAAGTTATTTTTATGGAGTTTGGAAATAATCTGTACTACGTAAACCGGAAGGCACGATTATTCCGGCAGCTCATTGCCTTTCACGAAAATTTACACTCGCCATCTGCGCATGAAACAATCGCCAATCTTCCGGAGCGTGTGCAGATTTTCGATCGCTCCGCTGCTTCGGTAGTCTTCCGAAATACCAATCGGCGGATTACGAAGAAAGTTCATAGATGTGGTGATCTCGATTTCGTGAGCGGTTTAAAAATTGGTCCTTGCAATCTAGCATTCAAATTGGACGTTATTCTGATTCCAAAATGATCCGAAATTTTCTTCATCGGTCAGAGTTTATTCTTGCTGTGCGGAAATTCGAGATTTAGACAGTAGAGAAAGTAACGGAAGGAATTGTAAATGAGGAACACTTTGGTTAGAGATTATTTATGGGCTTGCGTTGAAGGAAAGATTGACCCTTGTCACTTCCTTTTAGCGTTCGATGTAATTGTCGGTGTTGAAAGCGATAATCTAAATTGCATTTTGATACTGTATACTACTGCAATCTTTTGAGGTGATTCATCTGTTCAGAGACCAATTGGAATGGGAATATTTCCGGAAGTCACGTCGAAATTCAGACCTTCTTTGCATTTGAAAATGGACAAAAATTTGTGACACCCTCAGCAGAAGGTCGATTTAACTCTTTAAACGTATTATGGGAAGAAAAATTGTTGTCGAATTATACAGTCTATACAGAATTGTTCTGGTTTTGCTTTATTGTTGAATCAGCAAAGAATAGAAAATCGGATATTGGGATGCTTTCCTTGGAACGATCAAAAGTTTCAAAGTTTCTTTCCAAGTGTCAAAAACTCGTCGTCCAGATAATTTAAGAATCGAAATCTAAGATTCGATGGGTCATGTAATCTTGAAATTTGAGTCAAAAGAACAGCATGGAATTTCCCTCTTTTCTAACAATATCCAGCTTATCTTGACTCAAATTTCGAGATTATATGAATCACGAAAAAGGCTATAGCTGATTTTTTGCAGACCCTTGCATATTTTATGAATGCATTTTCGAGGCGTTCCACGTGTTCTGCTTAGAGTAAATTTTTACTCGAGAATACTAGGGTTGGCTCATAAGTTCTGAGACTTTTTGAGGTAGATCAAAGGGGTGTTCAACACTGAAGAAAAAAATTTAATCTCCTATAGCCCCTTCATTTGGCAGCACCTCAGTGCTGTTCAAGATGCTCTCCTTCAATTTCAATGTATTTTTTCATGCGATGAATCCAACGATCAAAACATTTCCAAAAATCGAGTTCTGTTAGTTGAGTTGACACCCTGTGACTTCTCACTATTCCCAACAGTGAAGAACGACTAGAAAAGGATTGATTTTGAGGACAGGGACAGCCTCATTTTCGCCGTCGAAGAGTAACCTAATCAACTAACGGAATTCGATTTTTGGCACTGTTTTGAACGTTGGCTGAAAAAAATGCATTGAAATAGGCGGTGAGTCTGTTGAACAGCATCGAAGTGTTGCCGAAAGATAAGGCTATGGGAGTGGATATATATTTTTTAAATTGTCGAAGCTCCGTAGAATCTATTTCAAAAAGTTTCAAATCGATTTGTCACATCCTCGGATTATGTGTGTTTCTTGACAAAAAAAAAAGCCCCTTGAGCGACTCCAGCAAAAAAAAAAAATTTCCCGCCGATCCCTTGTCTGTTTTCTCTTGTAAGCCCGAAACACGTTTCGTGCCACCACAAAAGGAGAACGGATGTGAACCCTACGATCTTGTTAATTTGATCGATTGACTTGATGAAACATTTTCTCGTCAGTAATGCTTACCAAACGGGTTTTTACGACTGTCACGGCGAACTCGTGTGAGGTGACTTCTGGTCGTCAAATCGCTCCCCGTAGTTTGCTCCACTTTCAGTTCACTGCCCTTTTTTCCAGGCTTATCTTCCCTTCTTCCGGGTCGACAAAGAAAGCAAAGAAAGAAATAAACTAAAAAAAAAACTTGCTATCCTGAAACTTTTATGGGATGTTGAAAGACCTGAAATATTTCTCTACTTTTTTTTTCATTTCAGTAGAACTTACGGTACGGGCCTTTTTTCCTGGGTGGTCGTGACTTCACTGTAACTGCTGGTCGGGTTAAGAGTAATCGGTTGGCTCGACCTAGAAACGATTTTTACTATTTGCCTGCATTGCGCTGAGAATTACAGTATGAGAAAACCCCTAATTCTTACTTTTCCAATTCATCGCGAATTGTATTAATGTACTTTGCCAAATTTTCCTGTCGATCACATGAAATAGAGCGACGTACGCAATATTAAATGATTATAATAATGCGCGCTGTATTTCCGTTCGATCGACTTAAATTGCGTGATGATCGCGCAAATAATGAACACTTTGGCAAGCTTTCTAAATCTGCCCAATTATGTACAGTATCTGCTGCCTGCCGCATAATATTTATAGAAAATCATCATGAACGGAGAAGTTACTGCGCATGACAGGCTTTTGGAAAAGTTCTTGAGTTAATAAAAAAAATAACCACGGAATGGTGTGAAATCTCCGAAATATCCTGAATTCGATGATATGACGCCATGTCATGCTTGAATTCTCTATATTTTCTAACAATCGGATTTTCTGCTTTGAATTATGTTCAATCATTTGAGCAAATGTACTCAATCATCAGGAGGAAAACTCTCCGTCCTCAGCAATTTCTTTTTTTTGCGATACTCAATTTAATAGTCTGAGAATTTTTTGATTGCGGAGGTGAGCCCAAAAAAATCAAAGCTGAGCTAAACTCAGGCAGTTGGAGATTTTGCGACTTCGCCCTCTTCGTATTTTTGTTAGACAAAAAATGGTATGTACATTATTCTTGCCATCTCGTCAGAATTATGTCGTAAATACATTGATCGATCTCGGACAATTTTCCACGTTTAAGAATGCGACGAGAAACACGAAGACAAAGCGAAAGTCGAGATTAATCCTCGAACAAGGCGAAATGGAAGGAACTTTCGCATAAAAAACGCGTCTCAAGGGCTTCCTCGATTTTGGAGGAATAAAACCGTGGTTCCTTGTGGAGCAGCTGCGGAGCATTTACGATAATGACCCCATTTGTTTTCTTCTTCTTCTGCTCCTTTTCCGTCATCTTCGAGCCACACAACATAACAAATCCGAGCTCGGGGGTTTTTTTTTTCTCTTCTGCTGCTTCCGTGTAACGATGGAACGTGTGGGAATGTTGGCGTTGCCGTCGTTCATCATTCTGTGTGTGTGTGTGAGTGTGAGTGTGTGCAACAGTTGATCTCGTCGGACTCGACGTCACATGACATGAAGGGGAAGTCTCGTCACTTTCGCTTATGCCTCGCTTGGTCCCTTCTTGGATGCTGTAATGACGCCTCACGCGTCATCGACATCTACGAATCGTAACCTCTCTCTCTCTCTCTAAAGAAAAAAAGGAAAGACAGTCGACTAAGAATAAAAACCGAGCCCCTTTCGGGGATTACGAAAGGTTTCGTCGGTCGGAAAAGGTTAACGTTTCTTTCACGTGTCGCTGAATGAAATGGGGTTTCGCCGCCCGCTATGATGGAAAAGGGTACTAAAGATCCTTTTTCTTTCGCACTGACGGGTCTCGTGTTGGATTCCTTCGGAAAAGGGGCGAAACGAATGGGGCTACACTTTCGTTCAACACGAATCCCTTCAGTCCGGTTTGCGTTCGGTCGTAAAAGATTGAGCTTTATGTTGAGAGCAACGCCTTTCGATTCAGAGATCCGATCTCAGACGGATCGAAGAAATGCCTCACGGAATCAGTCCGGATTCTATAAATAGTTGCATTTTTTTGTGTGTGCTTTTGATTGCACTTCCGCGTTTTGGAATGTGGGATTTCTACAGTTGATCTCTTTTTCCATGCGAGGGTATTTTTAAAAGTTCGGAGACATTTTCATCAGCCGTTTTTCCTCAGCGAACTTGAAACATTGATTTTCAAATTTCCCTCGTTTCTTGAGGGTTACTCCCATTTTATTTCATCCCTAGGATAATAAATGGGATGCAAAAATCAGCATTCGTGCTTTTTTGCGAGCTTCATGATTTCTTCACGTTCTCAATTAAGGAATTCACGTTCTCAATTAATAAAAAAAATTTTGCCTGGCAAGGTTCAGATTACGAATTTCACGAGAAGCTTTACTTTTACATGGAAATTTTTATTGCATCGTGCGTCTTTGAGAATTGGTTCTGTTAAATTACTGTATTTTCGAAACCCTGTTTTTGCTTGAAGATGGGTTAAAAACGTGAAGCTGGCATATTTTTTGTGTGTGCTGGATCCGATGAATTACTGAATAATAAATGTCAGAAGAAGCTGAAATATCAAGGCTTATTGGTAGAATAACGTTTTAAATATTATCAACAATAAGAGGGTCAATAGTAGAACTTTGGGAAACTATGCGGAACTTGAGTCTGAGTTTCTTCCTGAAATGTGATCGACGTCTTCTGCCTTTTTGCGGTGTTGGTTGATGAACGAGGTGCTGGCAGGAGCAGATGCGGTCGGAGTGATCAATGCCACCCTGTTGCAAAACTTTTTGCAATAACAGTTGGCCCGATTTCTGCGATAAACTGTCCGTGTCAGCGGAGGCCGTAGAACAGCTGACTCCAGCGAAAAACTTTTTAGACATTGCAATTATCTCCGTCTGTGTATTCAGAAAAAAAATTTTTCGGATTTCGCAAACAACCCATTTCGGGCAGTATTTTTCTTCAAATTTATGATCGGCGCCAGTCCGTCGCATGAAACTTTCTACTCTGATTAAAATGTATTGTTACGTCAGGCAATTCGTATTTTTGAATTTCTTTTCCACATTCTACGTGATCAAAATGTAAAAAAATCTTGAATAAGAAAAAATCGTTTTTACGTTTGCGGCGGACAGAAGTGGTAGCAATTTTATTTATTTCTTTCTATTCGCGGACACGGTTTTTTTTTTCTCTCGGTACAGTATTGCCGAGAACCGTTTTCCTTCTTAAATTTGTATGCCCTCGGGCTAATTTGAAATTCAGCGAGGAAAACGTGCACACGCTTTCTTCGAGCTCCTCGGTGCTTGGTCGTGTCACCCAGTAAGGAAACAGCGAAAAGAAATGCAGCGTATTTGTTCCCCCTTTTTTTCGGCTCATTTTCACGGAATTTCGTCAGTGTTGATGAGGTGGTTATTGATTGGACCCGTCTTAAACTTTTGAACGGTTACTTTTTTGATGCATCAAAATTTTTTTTTGAGTCGCTGATGAAGTTAAGATTGAAGGCGTTTTTTTTTCAAGGATACGCACTACGCTAAATCTTTTCCGTAAAAATGATCACGGTTGATTTGGAAATACGGTTCGCGATGCAATTTCTACGGAGATGTAATTGAACCGGATTTTGAAATGGATGTTTAAATGCAAATTTTACGCTTTTCATGATGAAACTGTCTCCGTATCAGCTACGAGGTTTACATCACAAGTTTTGCAAGTCACCCCTGACCTGATTAGAATCTCGTTTTTATGGAATGAGGTGAACGCATTAAAAACTTAAATATGATTATTTTCTGAACGCCTCAGGAAAAAATTTGAATTTTAAAAGTTGAAAGCTACTGAAAAGTTGTACTCGCCCGTGTTGAAGCGAAGAGAAGGGGAATAATTGGCAGTGCATATTACCGTACTCCGAAGAAATAAAGTCACATTTGCCTGCTTCAGTAATTTTTAAGCGATTAAATCGTTGCCAAGTAGAGTAATTTACAATATTTCAAATGCTTTCATGAATCTTCTCAGTGCCGATCTCCGAGATGCAAAGAATAAATTTCCCTGGAGCCAATCTTCTCATCTGGGAGATTTTTTTGTTAGTAATATTTAATGTGAATGTTCCCAGCAAATTTCCAATTGGTAAAGAAACCGTTACCCAAGTCAGGGTTGCAAAAGAATCAAACCCTTCGTAAACGCGGAAAGTTTTGCTTCAAGTCTTGTAATGAATTTCGCTGTACTTCGGAACATTCTGACAGAGTAACCTGGGTAGTTTCGAAAAGCATTTAAAAACTTTTTAGCACCCCCGTACGTAATTTCGATTGGAAATACAGTACGTCGTTGAGTTCAATAAAAAAAATAACTTGAGTGGTGTAACTGGTGTTTGTGACACGATAATATGCAATTCCTGAAGAAATCATCGAAGCATAAAAATCGAAGGTATGGTCATTCGAGCGTCGAGAGGGGGGAAAAAAAGAAAGAAAATTCCGGAGAATGTCGTCAACAATTATTTTCTCGTCAACTCATCTTCCGCGAAATATTTGCTTCCTGATCTATCGTCGAAGCTGTTCATCGCCACGGGAATGACGACTGGAGAATGAAAAATAATAATATTATGCAATCGCTTTCGTTTCCGCCGACCGACTGCTGCTTTCAAGTTTATTCCCAGATGATTTCATCATTTGTTTTCGAAGCGCGACAATCTTTCGATGCGTTCGGGGGAAGAAACACTGTCGTCATTCAAGGGCTTTTATTGCGGCAACTGAAGCAAACATATGCGAGATTTGAACGTTTTTTTTTTTTCGTATATACTGACTAATTTCATTTGCGTAACTGGGAATGATCCGGGTTTATGCTATTTTTCATTATTCCACGCTGACGATTGGCCTGTCATTCATTTCCACTCGCAAGCATTATTCAGGGTAGTGCTATTTTTTGCGAGATGCGTTGCTCTTATGAACTTATATGTTGATGGAGTACAATATTTTTTATACTTTTTATGATCCACGTACTCAAGGTTTAAAGATATTTTTCAGCATCTTAAAATTTACATGAACCTTGAGAACGTCAATTAGTGAATTTTTTCAAATCTTCGAATAATTCCGCACGAAAATCTCTCCGTCGATTTTGTGATTTTCGACGTTATATTCTGAAAAGTCGAATATCAAAAGCCAAGTTTAGAAATCAAGAAAGATTTCTCAAAAGGAATCGCGACAGATGTACGAGTATGTCCTCTCTTTGACATAAACTTTTATAAAATTTGATGCATGTGATTCTCTATTGATTTAAGAGCTTTTCGAATTCCCCGTAAAATGCATCGCTCTTCACTATTCCGAAGATGATCAAATCACGCCATTTTTCAGCGTAGATTGTCCTCCATCTCCCTTTTATTTTCGAATACCAATGAGAAACCCATAAAATCTAGGCTTAACTGTACTGCATTTTGTTACCACTT